AAATTATCCTTCCATTCTTAGGATAAGCCTAGTTGGTCTCTTTTTATGCACTGTTGGGTTAAATACAGTATTATTTTGTTTAGAGTTTTTGCATCTATATTTATCAATGAAATGTGCCTTAATTTTTCTTTCTTGTAATGGCTTTGACTACTATTAGTATTTGGGTTATGCTGTCTCAATGAAATAAGTTGGAATTTTCTCTTTTTTTATTGTCTTGAAGAATTTATGTAAAATTAAGGCGATCTATTTTTTCAAATTTTGGTAGAATTGGCCTGTAAATCTATCTGGGCCTGGTATTTTCTTTGTGAGAATATTTTTAACTACTGCTTCAGTTTAATAGCTAAAAGACTATTCAGGTTATTTATTTCTTCGTGAGTTGATTCTGATAACATACATTCTTTCAGAATTTCTTCTTTTCAGCTTAAGTTTTCAAAATTGTTTCATATTGTTATTAGTATTCTTTTATTCTTTTTAAATTTATTTTATTTTTAGGTACATTCCTGACTCCTAGATTGGTTACTTGCATAGTTGTGTGAGAGTAGTTTCATGTATTTTTATCAATCTACCATACTTTGTTTCATGCTTGCATTAGGGTAGAAACCCAGCTGATCTTATTTTGATTTCCAGCCACCTTCAGTCCTTCCTGTAAATTGACTTAAACTGAATCTTTCTGAAGCACTATTTTTATTATTTTATTCCCCTGTGCAAAATCCCTTACCCTTAGGGTAAATTCCTAATTGCTCAAGGCCAGTGATTTGCAGGGTAAAGAATGACCCCTGCTATGATTACAACCATACTAATACAAACCGATATGCTCACTGCCTCTAGAACATATTATGTAATCTTAATTTATTCCTTTGTTCAAACTCTTCTCACTTCTTAGGATGAATTTTCTTCTCTGTTCTTCAGGTCCTACCAAGTTTTCAAAGCCCTATTAAAATTTCACATTTATAGAGAAACCTTTGATATTTCAGTCTAAAATGATTCGTTCCTTTACTATTTTAATTTTCTGTTGTTCACCTCTTTTTTGTGTATGTATTTCTTTCCAGATTCTTCATGAGCATGGCATTTATCTTATACTTTTTTTTTCAAGTATCACTTTTCCTTTAGGAAGCCACAGTACATTCTCAACCTTTTTTCTTTGACTAGTTATATTAAAATTTTATTAGTTTACATTGTTATAGCTATGACTAAATGAAGATTAACTATAATTTATGCAGTACTTTAAGCTATTTTTGCATTATTACTCTGGGCATCTACTGTGTTCGTTTGTATAAGGTACAAAAAGAAGTTATACCCTGTCGAAGGAATCCAAACCAAATTCGTGAGGTTCTGGGCCAGCCCTACTTGGGACCCCCTGCTATAGCCCTATTTCTATTATTGAACTCTACTACTTTATTTAAAAATGTGTTAAAAACCAGAGTATAAAGTAGAACACTCAGGATAAATGAAAGATTTAAAAATTTGAGGACTATGTAAATAATTTATAACTACAGTAGATTTTTTTTTGTGACAAGTTAAAGTTCTTTCAAATAGATATTTATAAGGTGAGTTTTGTGAGGACAAGGACCACATCCTTCTTGTTCACTGTATGTCTAGCATTTATCACAGTGTCTGGCACATAGTGGTTGTGTGGTAAATATTTGAATGAATGGCTGTGCACTTTTTTTTTTTTTTGCTAATTTTGTAGTGTTTATAGCATAACCACTTGGTGGCACTAAACTCATTTTAAAACTTGAAGGAAGAGACACTCTTATACCCACATACATTGTAATTACTATTCTTCACATACATACAAAATGAGCTGTAATATATCATGGACAGTGTAAATTGTTATTGACATCAAAAGAGAAATATCAGTAACTACAGGAGCTTTTTTCTACTTCTTTAAAAAAAATTCCTAAAGTAGTGGATTACAGATTTGCAGTTCTTAGATCGTAGAAATGTTTGATAGCATTCTCCAC